AAATGAGGCATATTAACAAAGCACACTAAATGAATCAGCTGTTTAGGATGATCTACAAGCTAGTTCATTTTCCTGTTATCAAATAACACACCATGAATCTTGACAAATGGACCCACTTGTTTGACATTATTTGAAAAACTCATAACAAGTTTGCTTCTGATGGTCACTTCCCCTTTGAAATTAAATTTTAAAGTGGACTTCATTTAAATTCTGATAGAGGAAAAGGCTTATTATTAACCTCCATTTTGACTGTATGCTGTTTATCCTCATCCTTCTTTGTCTCCTCCTTGTACTTGGATGCACCAGAGCCTCAATGTCATCCCCCAAAGTTCACGGTCAGAAAGCTGTTTGTGTTTATTGCTGCCCCTGTCATTAATACGTGAAGCTCTAGAGTGTGGAGGGGGGACTGCGTGTCTTCTGGAGTCAAATCTCCTAGGTACAAGTTGGGGATCCGGCTGCGTGACCTTCAGAAGGTCATCTGCCTGGTTTGCACTTCTGTTTTCCCATTTGTGAATGAGAAGAGTATTATTTGCCTCATTGGGCTGTTACATAAAATGCTTAGGAAGCACACCACCAATGCTACCTGTGATTATTAGAATCATTATCTTCCAAAATGGATGTCAAGACATTTTATTTAATTTCCCAAAGAGGACACTGGTACTGATCCACTAATGGGGCAGCCCCAACATGTGGTTCAGAGGGCTTTCACCCCCATCCTGTGACACCTAACAGACCCTCCCAGCCATGCCACTCTAAATAAACATTTGAGGGAAATCTGCATACTTGCCAAGCGTGTGCAGGTTCAGGAGAAATGCGATCTCGCTCCTTCAACAGAGTGCCATCTGAAGGCCCTTTTCTGAAAATGTGCCCTTTTGACTGGTTTTAGCCAAGCTGACACTGCAAATTCATAGCAACTCCCTGCCCTGCCGTAGTGCAACATTACAATGCTCAGTAACCCCCTCTGTAAGTCATTGCTCCTAAATAGGATTTATAAAGTGTGACTTTGAGCAATATAGCAAAGTCAGTTTTATCTGAGGGAAAATAAATTTTTTTTTACTAACATTTTAAAATGTCTTCCTTAGTGCCTCAAAATGCTTTAAAAGCTAATCGATGATAAAATCCCAACTCCATCTAAAGACAAAAGAATTGAGGAAGGAATCAGAGCCACTTTTAATTAGGAGAGTGGTTGCTGTGACCCATTAACCTCTAAAGATGATTGCTCCTTTTTATTTTTTTGAGATGCTTTAGTTTGGTCATTTGTCTTTGGTACCAGAGCATACAACATTGCTTTTTGCTTTTCACCAATTAATTCATTTAGGCCTTTGCATTTGTCAGACGTTCCGGGAACCTTCTGCCAATGTTTTGTTGATGAAAGGATGTATATTTGGAAAGTGGGTGGAGAGGGGGGGGAATTTATAATTCTTAACACCAAAGAATGATTTACAATGCAGACCGCTACCTGAATCATTCAGTATATCATCAAAGGATAAATGAAATATTAAGGATTAGGGACAGATGGGCACTGGGTCTTAAAATCTGTGTGTTGATTGGCTCAGTAACACTGGAAAAGTCTACCTCTTTCCGCAGAACTTCTAGAACTCACAAACAAGAATATGATGTGGAAAACCACTTTTGATTGTGTATTTTTTTTCAAAGGGCTTTTGAAATACATCATTTCTCCACAACAGCCTGGTGCTATCATCTCTATTTATAAATTACATACTGCATTTCTATGCATACAAGTTCCCTATGGTCATCACAACTTTGACTTGCTTTTGACTGTTTTGTTTATTTATTTATTTTATCCTAGTGAATACATCGGGCACTTTGGAGGGCATATTTATTGTTTTAGGCACCATGCAATTTACTAAATGGTATTCTGGCTGTGGAAATGCTTGCAAAGACCCCTGGAGGGTAGTGGGGGGAGAAGTAAGTAAACACACATTGAACATCCTGTAGAGGATGCTCTCTTACTTGATCAATCAAGGACTCAGTCTGTGCTAGTCCATCAGATCTATGATACATAAAGCTGAAGACATTTTTTTTTTTTTTTGGCTCCCTGGTAGTTTTAAAAGCTATGCAGTGGGAAAAACTGCTTTAAACAAAGCCTCATTTTCAAAGAAGCCTGAGTACAGAATGGAATTCAAAGAATTTGGAGAGAGGGGAGGTGAAAGTAGTAACAAATAGCTTTTAAAAAGCCCTGGGAAATTTAAAAAAAATAAAGCACATAATGGAAATAAAAGATAAATCCCATCTGTCCCATTGGGAGATACAGAGACCAGGATGCTACTTTAGCAAGGATGTGTTGAACACCTACTAAGTGCAGGACTTGTAAAGAGATAGAGCTTAAGTGTCATGGGGCGTGCAAGGAGCGAAACTGAATTTTTTCTTTTTTTAAGATTTTATTTGAGAGAGAGAGAGAGAGAGCATGCACACGTGGGGCAGGGGAGGGGGATGGAGCAGAGGGGAAGGACAAGCAGACTCTGGGCTGAGCGCAGAGTACTACCTGGGGCTCTATCTCACAACCCTGAGATCATGACCTGAGCAGAAATCAAGAGTCGGATGCTTAACTGACTGAGCCACCCAGGCGCCCCGAAACAGAATTCGTAGACCAAGGAGGAATAGTTTTTCATGCAAGCCAAGAAACTTCATGCTGCTTTATGCAGATATTAAATTCCAAAAGGCAATGGATGTATTTCATTTTATTCAAACATTGGGGACAGAAAGTATTCTCCTGTGTAATTTGTTGTAAAATTCCACATTATAAATGTTGGTAACAAATGAGGTAATACCTAAGAAATGGTTGAGGAAATGTTTATTTCAAAGGAGGAGGCTCTGGGTTTTGCTCCTGTCATGTCTGTTGTCCGCCCTCCCCATTCCTTAAAGAAACTGCCCAGGACAGTCTTGACTAGTTTGTGTTTGCATGTGATCACTCTGTCTTATGCTCTCCCTCACTTTCCTCCCTAAGAGGAGAGCAAGAGGGAAAAGGGTTCAGATGGTAGATCTGGTGGATCTACAAGGTGGACCAGACCCTGGCCTAGGAAGCAGTGGGAATTCAGAGACAAGGAAGCTTCTATCAACCCCTCAGAGATTTTGGTAGCTGACTTTATTTTGAGATTTAGAATTAAGGAACAGATGAAGCTAATACTGAGGCTTCTAGCATGGGGGTTGATGAATGTCAGCAACACTAAAAGAAATGGGGTCGTTGTGCTGGGTGGCTGGGGTGGAGAATTGGGAGATGAGAAAGCAGAGATTATGAGTTTCATTTGGCATACTGTGTCTAAGAGGCATTGTCTTATAGTCAGTTGGAAATATTGACTGGGGCAAATCTGATCATTCCGGAAGGTATAAAACAGACTATTATAACAAGAAACAAGGCTGGATACTGCTAAAACTTGGCCTCTTCTTGCTGTGGGCTAAGTGTTGTGTTCATTCAGTTATTTATTGTACACAGTATAGCCTAAGTATTTATTAAGCACCTACTTGCTGTTTGATAAGTACATACCTCCCACTCCTGATAAAACAGCTAATGTGTCTTCAGGTTAAAACATGGCTAAAACTTTCCGCACTGGAATTTTGATAAATGTGTTCATTGTACCTTTAAATAACATTGTAGGTTATGACTGAGTATATCTGGGATAGTTATATAGACTAATATCACTGGCAAGACAAATAAGAACTACAATATTATCATTATCATTAATATTGATATTATTATTCTTATATTTTTGTTATTGCTAACATTTATTAACTTACTAATTTCCAGGAATCATTTTGTTTACATTAGCTCATTGAGTTTTCATAGACACCCTGTGACATATTAATGAGAATGTTGAGTCTCAGAGAGGTTAAGACACCATCCAAAGGTCACACAGCTGGTAAGAGCACAGCAGGATGCAAACCTAGATAGTCAGTGTAATTTTAGAACTTCTGAAGATTTGCCTATGGGACAAAGAAATAATGTATAATGAGTAATATATCTATTAATTCTGGCATATATAGTTATAAAGACCCTCAAGTTGCTGGGGGTCATTCTATCTTTTTATTTTGTTATAAAATAGTTTGACAGGTTAGAGCAGTAGTTCTCTGCTGGGGGAGATCCCCACTCCCCCTGTCAGGGGACACTTGACAGTGTGCAGAGATATTTTTGGTTGTCACAGCTGGACGATGGGTGCTACTAGAATCTGATGAGTAAAGGACAAGAATGCTGTTACCATCCTGCAATGAACAATGGAGGATGTACAATGGAATGAGCATGAAGGGCCCCACAACAAAGAATTATCCCCTCCAAGTTGGAGTGCTACCTAGATTGAGATCCTAGAATAACTGAAAGGGAATCTTGACTGTAGTGAGAGATTTGTGGCTCAGTACTACAAACAAAGGGCATTCACCATGAAGAAGCAGATTTGGGAGTGGGAGAAAGAGGTAAGATAGATTCATCCATCTGGTTGTTCATTCATAGATTCACTATTTATAGAGTGATTTCTATGTATCAGGAATTATGTTGGAGAGTGATGGTGAAGACAATAATAAGAGGAAGTGTGTCATTCTGTGTTTTGTTTTGCTGGAGAGACGGAGAGGAGAAGGAGTAGAGACAAGGCAAAGATGTGTGGCTGCTGAAGCGAACTAGGAGCAGGGCTTTGGTGCCAAGAGTGAATGAACTATGGTTCTAACAGGGAGGGAGGTACCGTGCTACTTTATAGGCCTACGGAAAATCCCAGCGGACTAGCTCAGAAGCCATACACCACTGTCAGGAGCACCTGCGAATTTCTTTTTGTCCCACTTATGGCCAACGTACACCGATCTGAATGCAGGTCCGGGGTGGGGGGAGCAAATGATGTTCTCAGAAGTACGCAGGGTGGGGATATAAAGATGTGTGTGCATGTGTGGGTCAGAGAGGCCGGGAAGCTTGCCTTGCTTTCGAGGTGCGTTGAGCTGCTGGCCTGTGAATGCGTGCTGGCTTTGTTTTTGCAGTAACAGCCTTTTCTGTTTCCAGCAGTCCTATGCACCAGCTCCCCACCCCATGGCTCCTCCCAGCCCCAGCACAAACAGCACCAGCAACAGCAGCGGGGAACAGTTGAGTAAAACCAACCTGTACATCCGAGGCCTTCCACCAGGCACCACTGACCAGGACCTAATCAAGCTGTGCCAACCGTAAGTGCCCCTCTGCTCCCCCGTTCCTCACCCCCATGCTGCCCTCTGTGTACTCCAGCCACACAGGACTTGGGTTTGCCCTCGGTATACCCCTTTATTGGTGCCTCGTGAGGAAGACTCTGCTAAATGGGACTCAAATTTGAGAACTAAGTCCAGCTTATGTTAGCGAATGGGATTTGTGTACTTTTTGTTCGGGGGTCCTGAGCAGGCCTACCTGGGACTATGGGCAGATACGCAGGTATTGACCAAAAGGACGATGAGCAAACATTAGCTGGGCCTTCGAACCCAATGTGGCTGGCGGAATCAGTGATGAATCTCATAAAGGTAGCTGCTTTTTTTGGAGAAGTGTTAGCGAAGGGAATCTCAAAAACTTTCGAAGTGGTAGGTTTCAGGATGGTGACCTCCCGTGTTGCCAAATTTTTCTGGCCAGTTCTTGGTAAATAGAAGTTCAGCCATGACCAGGTAATTGCGGAATTATAAAACTAATACTCTGCTTTCCTTGAAAACATCTCCTTCCACCTCCACTGAAGCTATTTCCCACCAAGGCCAAGAACCATACTCAGCAAATAGTTTTGGATTTGTGAGGAAATGTGGTAGTGATGAAACGCCCTTCGGAAATGATTTTGTTAATCTCTTATCTACCAACACTTAGGTTATTGACTCTCTTATTTCTGTGCAAATAGAATAAATATATTTAGCTTTGCCCTCCAAATGAAATTAAATAATGGATAATGAATTAAGACCCATGGACCTGTATTTTTAGATTGCTGTCTGATTATTTTTAAAGTAATATCAGTACAGCTATTTGTCATTTGAATATGCCTTAGCTGGGTATTTTTAAATTTGGGGAAACAATTACTCAATTTTTCTTCTTCTCTTTTGCAATGCTTTCACAAGAAGGTTGAGAGGATATTTATTTTGTAAATTTTCCAACCTCTAAAATATTGAAAGAGGAAAACAAAGTGGAGAGTATTTATTTGTCTTTGTTCTGGACTTTAAGATTGGGAGCAAATATCAAAACACCAGGAAGTGACTGATAAACCAAAACACAAATACATAACTCTATAATCAATTGACAAAGCAATATATGTGATTATATGTGGATTACAGTGGGTGGGGGCGGGGGGGCTATTGCCATTGACTACCTTGATTTGTGAAGGAGTTAGGGCAAGACTTGGAAAAATAAATATTTACTTAAAAGCAGTTATTTAAACAAAAGGAATGTGCCAGGGCTAAGACATATAAATATGTTAGGTTTTGGTCTGGGAAAGGTTGAGGTTGGACTTGGAAGGTAAATAACTCAACTTTTTCCTGTTGTTGTTAGAAAAACCTAAACTATTTTGGAAAGTAAGGGCTTTTAAAAATGTGAAAGATTGTGGACTTAAGTTCTCTGCTATATGTTAAAAGCTTCAGGAGAAGTATCTCTTAACGGATGCTGATAGGAAAAAGGGTAGGTATTATCTCTGACTCATACTGGAATCTCACTTACAAAAAATATTGGTGGGCTTAAGGAAGATATTTTCTCTTTGCTCTATACCACTCAGAGAACTTGCTGAAGCACAGATTTCTGAGCCCAAGAGATAATGATTCACCAGGCCTGGGGTGGAGACCATGGATATGCATTTCTAACAGGCTCTCTGGTATAGTTGCTGCTGGTTTTTGAGAAGGAGCACTTCTCTCTTCCATAATATGGAAACCACTGACTATTTCTAATATATAAAATTTATGAAGTTAGTTTATGAAGGTAGTTGAGGTAGAATCTTGTGCATTAAAACCCACTCAGCCACTGTGTGTGATTTTGAGGCAAATCATTTACTCTCTTTGAGCCTCAGTTTCCTCTTCTAAAAGAGTGGGTTGACTTTGATTATTTCTAGGTGTCCCTGTACTTCCAGTGGTGCGGGAGCTGCCTCTGACTGGTGTATTAGGATCAACTGTTAAATATTCAAGAATTCCATGTGTGGTGTGTTCTAGACTCAGTGGCTTGAAATCAGCCATGGTGGGAGTATTTCCATCACAAGAGCCAGCAAGCTCTAGAAGTGAGGGCATTTTAAATTTTATCTTAGGATTACAGCTTTGTAATAGAGCTTGAAGTCCAAAATTGTGATGCCACCAGCTTTGCTTTTCTTCTTCAACATTCCTCTGGCTATTCGGGGTCTTTTCTGGTTCCATACAAATTTTAGGATTATTTGTTCCATTTCTTTGAAAAAAGTGGATGGTATTTTGATAGGGATTGCTTTGAATGTGTAGATTGCTCTAGATAGCTTTGACATCTTCACAGTATTTGTTCTTCCAATCCATGAGCATGGAACGTTTTTCCATTTCTTTGTGTCTTCCTCAATTTCTTTCATGAGTATTTTATAGTTTTCTGAGTACAGATCCTTTGCCTCTTTTGTTAGTTTTATTCCTAGGTATCTTATGGTGTTGGGTGCCATTGTAAATGGGAT